AGAGGTTATATATATATATATATATCATACACAATTTAACATCCCTTATTGTTGACTCCTCAATAGCTTCATTGCATGATACTTAACATAGTGACACTTCACAAAATGCCTTGTTGGTCAGAAACCTCCACTGGTCATAACACTCTGCGGGTAGTCCTTTTTGGGATTTTTGTCAGCCTCTTAGGATCAACAAATGTCCCCAGAAAGCAACACAAGATTTTTCAGCATACTTTGTCTTTACTCACAAACATTTTTTAAAACTTTTTAAAAGGTCACTCATTCTAAAATCGCACCAAATCAAGCATGTTTAACTATGGAGTTCTTAAGTGATAAACTACCGAAAAATATATGTATCTTGTTGGTATAGGTAGTACAAATTAATTATTTTAAGATATCCTCAATTGCACAGTCTCATGCATGTACAAATCTCTTGATCCCTCTCATTTTGATGTGTCTAGGCTATTACGTATAATATATTGAAATGGTAAGTTTGATCAATTGTTATAATATTAAACAACTTAATTTATTTTAAAATTAAAGTTATTGAAAAACATACACATAAACAAAAAGAAATTTTATTTTATATGTTTATTTTATGTAAAACATTTCTACATATATATCCACATGAAATTCACCATACCGCAACACCATATTAATGAATAGGATGATGTGATAAAACAATCAATTAGATTGAATTAGTAATGTGATTAAATGCATAATTGAATTTTGAGCCTTTGGTCTAGGCTTAGGATTCATAACCTTATGAAATAGGATGAGAATGGATGTGTGAAACCTAAATGGTGAGATAAATTTGCTTGTTACATAATTGAAATATGCGATCCCATGAGAAGAGAATAAGTCTTTCACTAAGCAAAATAGCTCTAGAGAACTAAGATAGCTCTTTGTCTCATTGATGCTAAATATTTAAGAGACACACTAAGAACAAGAGCTCAATAGTTTACTAAAGTGTCGGTTATATGTGAGCCTTATTCTCACTAAACATGTGTTACGTACAAAAGTCTACATAATAGCTAACTACTTGTGGATGCATGCTAAGTGAGGGAGCCAAAAAGAGCAATCCTTTCTTTTGTGTTCTTGGCATGAAGCAACAACGTTGTCATTAAAAGTTGGGTTATGGTGCTAAGTGAGGGAGCTCTAAAGAGAAATCCATGTTTCTTGTGAATTAGTGCATTAAGAGAGAGTAATCTCCTAAGCAAGAACCTTGATTTGTGTGATCATATTTTATACCTTGTTAATGTTATGATGATTTAAGAATGACATGATGAATGATAATTGTTATGCTTGAAATGATTAATATGAATTCAATAGACATACTATGCTATGAAAGTGATAAAAAAATCTAGCCTAAAATGATGTGTGTCTCTTATG